CCTTGGAAACCCTAGGTTGATTAATGATGATAACCAATGAATTGGCTCAAGTTGAAAGTAGAGTAATGAAATTGAAGTATGAATTATGTGTGTTGAAGTTGAATTAGAATTGGGAATGTTGAAAATTGTGTTTAGAATTGCAAATGAATTTGTTATAAATGGTAGAATTCATGCTATCATGTAAAGGAAAAATTAGGGAAATAATCTATTAAGGATATAGATGATATGAACTTGGTTTTAGAAGGTTGATATGGAATTCAAAGATTTATTTTGAATTATGTTAAATTACAAATGGTGTTCATGAACTAAATGATGTTGCACTATGATGAATTATGTTTGAATTACGTGACTTGTGTAGGATTAGCTACAAGGACGGACCACGCACCTGAACACTGTGAGTAGTAGTACAAAAATGTATATTTTATCTATTGTTGATAATTATTGTTACTAATGCTTTGTTCTTTGTAAGTGTTATACAAACATCTATGACAATTGGAATTCAATATGAACTGACATGAACACTGAAAGATTCGCGTACGTCGGTATGATTTTGGAATCCTTTATTCCTAATCCCTTTGTTATTTATAAGCATCCTTTGTGCTTTCTTAAAGTATAAGTGGAACTGATGTTCATCTTCGAAGAATCAGAATAATTGGAAAAACTATGTGAATCCGTATGAATCTGAAGTTGTTTGGTTGTGTTACACATGAATGCAAAGGTTTAACATCCTTATGTGACTACATAAGAATACGAATTATTCTATTATGTTAAGCGCACAATAATGACATAATATGACAAGAAAGGCCCTGTTTTCTGATATGCTACGTTATGACTTAATGAATGTTTACAAGTTTACATATGTTTTAAGCTCAAGTCTGTTACAAGATTACGTATGTTATAAGTCAAGAATGTTACAAGTTAAAATATGTGACAAGTTCAAGTACGCACAAGTTTAAGTAAGTTAAGTATGTTATAAGTTCATGTATGCTACGGGTCCAAGTATGCTATAAGTCTATGTATGTTACAAGTCCAAATATGTTACAAGTATACGCCTGTTACAAGTTCACGTATGTTGTAAACTCAAGTATATTTCAAGTATGGTCTAAGTATGATTTCAGGTAAATTACAAGTTCAAGTATGTTTCAAGTATGGTTTCAAGTATATTACAAGTTCAAGGATGTTTCAGGTATGTTTCATGTATATGTTACAAGTTTAAGTATGCTTCATGCCATTTTCAAGGGCTTTAATGCCAACATGTTTACAAGGGCTTTATGCCATTACAAGTTACAAGGGCTTTATGCCATTACAAGTTACAAGGGCTTTGTGCCACATGTTCAAGGGCTTTATGCCACACGTTCAAGGGCTTTATGCCATATGTTTCAAGGGCTATATGCCAACATGTTTAAAAGTTTAATGCTATGATATTCAAGGGCTTAAAGCCATTATGATTCAAGCTATTATGTTTCAAGCTATTATGTTTTAAGACTGGGCCTAAGGCCGTTATGAAATTAGCATAGAATCAGACTAATTATGTAAACTTTGCATTTCTATATATGCGTTGATATGTATTATGGTTCAAGTTATGCATCATTTTATTTATGTATTACTATTCACTGAGCCCGGCTCACCCTCTGTTATGTCTGTTTCTGTAGGTCACCAATCAGGCGGTCAGTCCTAGCCAAGACGCCGCTTCCTCTAGTCAACCTTTATATGTTCAGGTACTGTTTAAGTCATTTAATTTCTTAAGCTGTCAAGATGTTGGTTCGCTTATGAGTGTCTATGAGTGTCCATCCAAGGTTGTTGTATTTACCTTTCATGTTTGTTTTTTTGTATACGCCCGACTTTAGGGCTGGAACTATAAATGTCTATGTACACACTCTGGGATATAGTTTGGAGCTTTATTTATCTGGTGTAATGCATGTGATGAATGAGATCCTGGCATGTAGGAGTAGCTCTATGGAGTTTAATTGTTCATTATTATTTATCTATTTTTTTTTTTTGTGCTTCCGATAAGGCCCCATATGTTATATATAACAGGTTAAGTGTCCGTTACTGAAGTGGTCATGCCCAAACTTCTAGGGGCGAGTTTTGGGCGTGACAGGCTATCTCCGGATTTTAGCCTTTTTGGTGCACTACTTCCTGTGTTATTACGAGTCCTTTTAGACCTCCCTCCATTGGTCGCGTCGAAACAGAGGTCCTTCCCCTGAACATGCTGATGTTCTTTGGAGTTAGCTTCCTTGGTGCGATGTGTCCTCTGTGAATCTCCCCTTCTTGATTCTCCTCGTCCGACCTCCCTTGAAGGCCGGTGAGAATGTTCCTTGGTCCTATCGTGCTGAGGAGTCGTAGGAGTTGTCTTCTGCCCCCCTATCTGGGCATCTTTCTTGGCTACTGGAGGTGTATCTTATGACAGGAACGGTAGCTGCATGATGTTGTTCTGTATCATGAAATTGACAACTGTTTGCAGGTCCACCAATTTGTTCGCCATTCCTTTCATCTTGTCGTTCCTTCGTAAGCATCTTTCTTTCCATACCTGGAGGTCGTCCTCGTTATAATACTCGCTTCGGTCTGATTTCTTCGGCACGTCGCCCTCCTGGCCGACGTCCTCTTCTCCGTGATTCCTATCACGAGTTTCTTCGTTGTAGTTGTCTTCTTCGACGCCAAGGTCAATATGTTTTCCACTCTCAGTAGGGGTGTCGTCCCCAACCTTCTCTTTCGATCTGTCGTTGGCCATTTATTCTCCTTTCTTTTCCACAGACGGCGCCAAATTGGCTGCTAGAATTGGCATATCTTGTAGCTAGAACAGTGGCAGTTGTGGGGGAATTTAGAATAAATACATAGATGTAATGGACCTGTAAATTCTAATAAACAAAAAAAAAATAAAAAAGGGTTAAAAAAAAAAAAAATACAAAACCCATTCATGTTAGTTCATGAAGATCTATTGCTGTATGGGTTTGTTGTTATCAAGTGATCTGAATGTTGTTGAAGGGGATGAAGCCAGTGGAAGTACCTGTGACACATTAGAATGGTACTGTGGAATTTGTTGATTGAGCTCTCTTTCTCTGTTCTTTCCCCCAATAATGATTCTAATAAAAGAACCATCTCCCTCTTCTGTAGCCACAAATTCTTGGACATTAAAGGACCTTTTTTCTGCTTCTTCCATCAATCTTCTCATCAATTTCTCTTCAGCATCCCTCAAGAACTTGAACTTTGGAGGGGGTGAAGATCTCAACTTGTTCATCTCCACATCTATTGATGATTCAAAGAGAGGATTGAAGTTGAACCCATGTTGACTATAAGAATCCAAGGGGTGGTTATGAGGCTTCAATGTTGGTGAAGCCAAGGGGGTGAGAATTGAGGTCTCAACAGCAACAAGAAGGTCACTTAGGCTTTTATTTCTAGACCCTTTTCTACTTCTATCCCCTCTTGATTTCACATCATCAGCCTCCAAATCTTCCTTTGTTTCTTCATTGATTGTGAAGAAAAACCTTGGTGGGCCACAGAGATTGTGCAGCCTCATGAGCTCTGACTCCACAGTTTTCTCACCAATGCCTTTCCTCAGCAAGTCCTTGGTTGAACCCAACTCAAGGTCTGGTTCATGCCCATTGTTGGCATCTGGGTCTGTCACTGAATTGGTGACTTGTTGATCAGTTTTCCTAGTGCCCAAACAATTGGGTTTCTTCCAGAAAAACAAGAGATAGGAAAGCTCTTTGGCATGGTGAGTGTAGTGATGATCTGCAATCCCTCTTCTGTTGGTGAATCTTCTCTTCCACCACAACAAATAGTAAAGCTCTCCAACAAGGGCAAAGAGGATGCACCTGTTGGAAAAAAATAGTTTCGATGCTGATTTTTCAGAAACTTTATGCTAATAATTTTGTAGGACCCATAAATCGGTTTGAAGGGTCTGAGTAGCAATGTGTTCGTTGCCGTGTGGTGAACAAGATTATGAAATTAGTGAGTCAAAACTATTTATAGGTGAATAGGAAATTGACTCCAAAGTGAGGTTCATGAACATTAAGTCATTCCTCAAAATGGTATTGATTGTTCTTGTCCCACATAGGAAAGTTAGGAAAAATTTGATGAACATATAAGGTCCCAAATGGAACCTTGGGCATGGGCTCAAAGAACACCCAAAGTGTGAGTTGGGTTGGGTTGGCCCATTACTAACTTCTTGGGCCAAAATTATTTAGAAATATTTTCAATTGGTTGCTGGGAAACAACTAATTTTGAAATTCATTTTCAAATTTTTGCAACGGCTCAAAGATTTGAATTTCATATTCAAATTTCAACAGGCATGTCTCTTCCGAAAGTAAATTATCAGATGATATGGTTAAAAAAATTGTCCCAATATGACATTTTTAGTCATATGACATCGTTTACCTATATTTTTAGAAACTAAATTTCTAAAAGAAGATATATAAATAGATGAAATAAGAAAACTAATAGTTGCTATATATATATATATACTTGATTAATTGACAGATTCAATGCTTTGAGCAACTTGATATGTAAAAGAATATCAAAAACTATATAACTAAGAATGTAAACTTGTGTTTTCATATATGAAACTAACTTAAAAAAACAAATAGCAATGCGAGGGGGTCCAACTAGTATATATATCAAAAATTCAATCTACAGTTTCTGCGTTGTTTTCTGTTGTCATACTGTTTGCTACTCTTTTGTTTTTTTTTAATACAGAATTTCTTTCTGTAAATTCTGTATACATAAGTTAAATATTCTTGGTTGTTTTCCTGCTAACGTACTGGATTATGTTTGCTTGACTGATATGCTCAAACGCAAATAGGAAAAAAAAATTGGTGGTGATCTGCATAACTACGTTTTTAGTATATATATATATATATATATTTAAATTCTAGTTTGGTTTGTTTTAGTGCACTTCCCCAGACAACTACCTTATTGGTTACTGGTTTGGTGGATTTGTTTCTTTAAGGAAAAAAAAAAAAATTTTTTTGATATACGTTATATGTGGACTACACAAGACCACCTTCTTGCTATTTGTATTTATGCTTTGTTCTACTATGCTTCTGTGTGTCTGTTAAACAAAACACACACACACATATAGTTTGTGGTGTGTTCTGCATGCATCACTACTATTTTGTCTTTTATTTTGGCTACTAATTTTTTGAACTTTGTAATTTAATATCTAATTTGAGTTAGTTAGTTATTGAGGAATCATATTTTATTTATTGTGAAAAGATTTGTTTTTGTTATTTTATTTTGATCAGAAAGTTTAAATGGCAACTGAGACTGTAAATAATGCTGGAAATGCAAACCCGACATCTGCATTTGTCATCGTTCCTACTCCTATGGTTACTTCACTTCCCACCACTGTCCCGGTTAACCACAATGAAAAGCCAGAAAAATTTAATGGGACAGAGTTTAAGAGATGGCAGCAAAAAATGCTGTTTTATCTTACAACTCTGAATTTGGTAAGATTTGTCAAAGAGAATGCACCCGCCTTGAGCGAGGACGAAACTGATCGGCAAGCAATTGTTGCAGTTGAGGCGTGGAAGCATTTTGTTTTTTTGTGCCGAAACTATATTTTGAATGGATTGGACAACACGTTGTATAATGTGTATAGTCCATTACAAACGGCTAGAGAATTGTGGAAATCTTTGGACAAGAAGTACAAAACGGAAGATGCGGGTGTAGACACCTCATTTTTGACCGTCCTCGGGACTTGGTTGTGCTTGCAGGTACACCTAACAACTAGTTCGACTGCTCGTCGAGTACTCGACTGTCGTGGCCGAACGTCACCGGTTCGAGCTTCTCGGACCCTGTATCCTTTCTGCCCCATTTTTGGACCCTAACTTGGTCCTTTCAGAGTGACCCTTTTAGTGCATTGCCGGCCATGGCCTTGCTCCTGCCGGCCATTTATGAGGCCCTGCCGGCCATCAATAAGCCACTGCCGACCATTGATGATGGCCGGCACCCCCCCTGTCTCAGCTGGTTTTCCTCTAGATCTTTTGAGCCAACTGGTTTTTTGTTTGCTCCCCTCCATACACGTGTATGGAGGGATCAAGGCCTTGCAAAGCTTCTTGAACAAGCTTTGGCTTTTCATTCCTCTATATAAGGAAGAGGCTTCTTCCTTAGACAGGTTTCTGAACTTTTGAAGAGGAAAAACTCCATTTCTCTCTATATTGCTTGAGTTTAGTGCTTAGAAATTGGATTTCCTTGCACTTTTACACTACAACACATAGAGACACACCACCACCATTGAGCCAAGCTTCTTGGGAGGTCTTCTTGAGGTCTGAAAGCAAGCTTCCATCCCCTGAAATTGCTGGTTTCGAAGAGGGTCTTCAAGGGTGAGCATTTTCCCCATTTTTGTACTTTTTTGCACCTTGCTTTAGCCCTCCTTGAATAATTATTTAGGCTTTGCTTATAACTGAAAAAAGTCTTGTTTTTAAGTGCTTTTTAAGTTTATTTAAGGTCATTTTGTTGTTTGGGGTGTGTAGCCCCCTTGCATGCTTTGTTTGGCTTTGTTTTAATCCATATCTTGAGGCCTCCAAGCTAGCCTTGGTTTGACCTTCCTACCACTGAAATCCAGTGGGATTTTGGTGGTAGAGGTGTGGTTTTGAGGTCCTAAATCAGGGGGGGTAATCCCCTCTCTTTGTGTTCCTCTTTCCTTGCATTTTTGGCCTTCCAAAGGACCATCCCTCTATGCATTTTTGAGGCTTGGTCCAGGCCTATTTTTGTGACTTTTAGGACCTGCCTTGGCCCTGCCCATGGCTGGTTTGGTCATATTCTACTTGCATCTAGCATGTGTAGTGTAACTCTATTCATAGCTCATCAAAGTAGCATGTGTGCTTAGCTTGTGTTGAGTCCATTTCAGTAGGTTTTTGGTGATGTTTTACCATGCCATGAATCTGTTTTGAGTTGGTTTTGTCACTCCATGCTTGCATAATACACTTGTAGTGTAATTTTGCTCCCTAGCCATAGCTTGTTTCATGTTTTAGCCTATCTTCCTAACATGTGCTAGCTTAACTTTGGCCTGCAATAGTCCGTATTTTGCTGTGATTAAGCTCTATTTTGAGGTGTTAAGGTAGCTTGTGCATTGCTTTGCATGGTTGTGGTTTAAATGCTTAGAATGGCCTAAAGGAGAGCATGCTTTTCTAGTTTGTTTTGACTATTTTCCAGCATGTTTTAGGCCCTAAATTAACATGTAGAAACTCTGTTTTAGGCTGGATAAAACTCTCATGCATTGCATTACATAGTTGTAGTTCATGTGCTTCAAGAGTCCACTGCTTGGGCATATCATTTGAGCTTGTTTTGGTGTATGATCATGGCATTTTCAGCATCAATATGGCATGTAGGGTGATTGTTTTGAGGTGTTTGAGACCTGCAAGCATTGTATCATATAGCTTTGGTTTATGTGCTTCATTGGCCTCTTGCATGAACATTCTTAATCAACTTGTTTTGGCCTTGCTTCCTTGCACTTTGGCCACTGCACTGTTTTTGGGCTGGGCTGAGGTCTGCCTTATTGGTTTAAGTCCACAAGTGCATATTGATCATGTTGCAT